GGTGCTGGGGTGGGACAGCGGCGGACGCAGACCTTGTTTGGCGGGGCGGGGGCGCAAAATGAATACATAGCAATAATAATATTACTCAAGTAAAAGAAAAAGGTACAGTCAGTGCAGTAAAACTACTCATATAAGTACCATTTTTCCAAAAAAGGTTACTCAATATAAAAAGTGCACACTTTTGAACATAAACAACATCAGTAGCCTACAGGCTACTAGTTAACAAGCTTAAGGTGCTGTATTAGCTAGTCATCATTTAGCTAACATTACCTGCATCCAACAGCTTTACTCAGCTCAGTCGGTTAGTTTGTGAGGAAAACTGTGCAAAGTTCTTTTTGTTTTGCTGGTTTGCTGCCATGATTCTAACACACCTGCGAAGCTCTGCACAGCAACAGCGGGTCTCCTTCGCTGCCGCACAGGTGTAAACCCAGCGCGAGTGTCTTAGCGCTCATGTTGCGTTTAAAGGCGGCTCGGAGAAACACGTTACGACGTGTTAGCAACAATTAAACAGTTTTAATGGCTGAAAAAAGTGACAGAAGGCGCTAATATTGGAAGTGCGGAAGCCCCTATTGTATCAAATCGATATAGGAATAACAGAGAGTCGGCCACTCTCTGTCATTCCTACATACCATGCCGCAGGGCCTGTGCGTAAGGGTGGGTCATGGGTGCGTGCTGGCATTCTGGCAGTCAGTGGCAGGTTCCCTCTGTAGATTTATGTTGCTTGGCAATTGTGTGTGTTATACCTTATTTATCAATCGATTGATTGATTGATTTAGCACTCTATGGTAAAGTTAGATATAATAGAAAAAAAAAAAGGCTTTTACCTGAGCATCTGCACCTGAGCCCACATCGTCCTCAAACACCACCCCATGCAGCTTCTCCGTTGCCATCGTGTCGCAGAGATGTGTCAGCAGGTCCCGGGGGTTGGTGTCGTTGACGAGCACGGTCACAGGGCTAACTACCACTGGCAGATCGACAAAGTTCTCCCCACTGAGGCGACCCCTGACCTCGCTCTGATAGCTGGAGCCGCTGAACACTACCGCCACGTTAATGGACGAGTGGACAAGCAGTGGCCGAGCCTGCAGTGGGGGCAAGAGCAGGACAAGCAGGAACACTGGAGGCCAAGGAGAGTGAGGAGGAGGAGGTCTCCTGGGTATGGCCATGTTGGCAGCCTACTGCCTGGAAGGGAGAGGAAAAGGAGGGAAGCAAAAAGAGCAACGGTCACACATTCAAGCTGCGTTACATTTCTCATGTATCTGACGTGAATCCTAATCCGTCCCTAGACATCCAACCCTTATTTCTCTCCCCTGTTTGACCCTTTTGTATGACAGTATTAGCCTTGAATTTAGACTCTTGTGTCATCATGAAATCTGCGCATGTATGTGTGTCAGAGTCAGTGTGCATGTAATCCTCCATAATCCAACCCCCAGTGTCATGACTGTAATCACCTCTTCATCTCTACACATCTCTGATTCAGCGCGCGCACACATAAAGACAGGATGCCAGAATTATTGCACAGGTTCTCAATCCTCATCACTGAGATTACATTACATTACGATACTTCAGACAGAATCTCTCCACATGGTGTGATTTCATCAGTCTGCCATCAGAAGCACTCAAAGTGACAACATGACTCAAACAAGTACGCTCAGAGCCTCCTTAGACAACGTCTGGCTGCGTTAAACGACTTTAATCAATTTTGAGAGCATTTTGGCTCATGTTTATGAATGTGGTCAAGAACTGTTTTTCATTAAGTTGGTCCAAAAATATCTTTAGCAGGAAATGGGTCCAGTTACTGCATCATATTGCCACAGTAAAACGATTAATTCTTGTACGACCAAAATTCTAAATAGGCCGGCTGGATTTATTTGGACTTTTACGGCAGTAGGATTATCAAACAATGGGCAGTAGGTGAAGGCTTTCTTTCTGTCTTTTTTCCAAACCACTTCTATTTAGAGGAAGGAAAACATGACTGTTTGGCTAATTGAGCTAGCTAACTTGTTTTTAGGTGTGACTGTGTGTGCATGGTTGTCGGCGCTGCATGGAATGGACTGGCAACACGTCTAGGTTGTAACCAACCTTTTCACGCATAGACTGCTGGAAATGGGCACCGGCCCCTTCATCACAGTACAAGGATCAGCAGGTGATGCTGATGGATGGATGAATGGATGGAAGATACATGTTAGAAACACATGCATTGATGCATCCATTAAATTGATTTTATTATTATTAATATTATTGTTATTATTATCAGGAACAGCAAACTTGCACTTCTTCCCTGCAGTGATTTTCACCTCAGAACTTTGTCACAAACTGAAGCATACTGTGGGGGTTTGGTTAATCCGTGTTTTTGTTGTTGTTGTTGTTGTTGTTCGTTTTTGTTGTTTCTTTTGATTCTCTGAATGTTTAATGAATTATATTTATACTATCAACAGTCTATAATCACAAAATTTTCAAGTGCAGGCTCTTCCATGCTTTAATTTTAGCGACAGCAAGAAGAGTTTGGATCCAGATTGGAGCTTTTCTGTGTGGCGTTTGCATGTTTTCCTGCTGTATGCATTGGGTTTTCTCTGGGTTAATCCCATAGGCCAAAAATAACTAATGCTATGTTTCCTTTCCTAAGGAGTGAGTAAGTCCATGCTTGATTGAGTTTCTGTTATTCCTCTATTTTGGTTTGATTGATGACAACTTCCCCTATTAACCACCGGGCATATATAAGTACACAGATAACCTTTGACAACATTTGTAAAAAAATTTTTTCTGTAGAAAATAATTTATTGAGCAACTGTTACTTTATCTTGATGACCTTCACCGCCTTTCTTGGCCTTAGTTAGGGAACTACCACTGTTCAGTTCAACATGACTCGATTCTGTGATGCCACAGATGCCGAATGTCAGCATGTGGGATTTTCACCCATCTATTCATTCTGACATAATCCTAGTGTGGACTTTATGCCTCTACAATAACATCATCCTAATTCCTGCTTGGTCGTCAACGTTGAAGAGACATAAATAGTGCTGTATGTGGGCGTGTTTTTATGTAGATATTTTGCTACTTTTTCTAGTTGGTGTAGGGAAGGATTAGGGTTTGGATTATTTTTTTTTTATACAGTTTATATGATATAAAAAGAAAAATCATGCTTGTTTTAGATCATTTATTCACTCCCTTGTCTGATCTCTGTTCCAGATCAAAATTAAAAGCTAAATTTTCTGAGGCAACACACAGGATTGGATCTGATAGTAATTCTAACCATTGAGTAACCTAAATGTTTTACGTTTTACACTTGTTATACAAATGTCATACAAAAGAATGATTAGAATAACAAAGAAAGTGTTTATAATATGGTCCAAAACCAGAGGACAAACGGAAAACAAAAAAAGCAACAAGAAGTTTTTTTTTTTCTTAAAAATCTGTTGAAAGTACAGGATTGTTTGGTGAAGTTGGTCAGTTTTGTAATCATCATTTCCATATTAATTTCCTTAACAATTCACGCCTTTGGAATCTGCATATGAATTAGGGTCTTTTTATTGGAACGTTTGCTGTTTGAAGATCGACCCCTCCGTTGGAGCAGAACCTTTGAACCTTTGGTAAAAACAGGAGGGCTTTCATACAGCAAAGGATGGCAAGAAATAAGGGAGATCTTCAGGTACACAGGCATATTTAATAGGTAGAACGGGATAAACAGTGAGTCGGTGGCCATCAGAGACTCTCTGCTAATGAACAGCAGCTCCCAGCTTTGATTCAAAGCAACACAGAGTTAAACGTGCACCACCTCCTTTAACTCTCTTCACCAACCTGGCACACCAATCATTCATCTTAATAAGGTTTTCAGCTCCTGGGATTTTGGAGTTCATATGAAGAAAGATGCAATTTGAAACCTAGAAGCAATCCGTTGTTATCAGAAACAGCCGGATGTAGGCAGCAAGTCAACGGTCAAAGATTGCCTAATTTGAGAAAAGTTTACAAAGGGCATCTGAAATTGATGTTTTAAACTTTTTCATACTTTGCCTCAACACAATCCAAAATTTAATCAGAACTTTACGTGGCATAAAGTAATAACTAGCACATGATTGTAAAGTGGAAGTAAAAATACACATTTCAAATTGTTTAAACTTTTTAAAACAAGTTCATGAGCCCAAATGTGATGGACATTTGGGCTCATGAATGAAATATAATGCAGCCAGTTTCCTTTACAAGTAACCTAATTGGTAAATAGAGTTGTGTGCAATTTATTCTCAGTGTAAATCCAACTCTTCTGTGAAAACTTTGGAGATTTGCTAGAAAATATTAGTGAACAAGCAGCAAGATGAGGGGAAATTTAAAAGATTGGGATGCAAATTATTTTCCCAGCTACGAACATCTCAAAAAGCAATCAACTTTCAGTCCACCAGCTGCACATCTGCAAGTCTTTAAAAACATGGGTTTAATTAGAGAAGCAACCAAGACACCCATTGTCACCGTGAAGGAGCTACAACATGTATCATTTTATGCACAACTTTTTGTTGGATCCTTATATAAAATCCCCAATACACATTGTCATTTGTCATTGTGGTAAAATATGAAAAAGGCCTCTCAAGTTGTTTAGCTCTTATGGATAGATAAGCACAAACACATAATTTTAGCTCAGCCGAAAAAACCATGCTCCATGTAGAGGTGCGGTTTACGCAAGAGCTTTTAGGGGACAATAATGCACTGGTCAGTGTCAACTCAGGAGAGGAAAGAAGGAGAAGGAAGAAAATCTAAGCATGAAGTCATTTTTCACCAAATCATCAATGTAGTTTTTGCATCGCTGTAGTTCCTGACAGAAATTATCTACAATAGAAAGACAGAAGATCTTCTCCCACCTGAAATTCTTTTAAAACAAACCTTTCGTTTTTTTTTCCTCATTCCACAAATAATATGAGCGGCAGACAGTTCAGACATCATACGCACAGAGATCTGTATGTAGACATCGACAGAGAGTAAGAAAACCTAGTGGATTGGATGGGAGGGTGAAAATGATGTCACTCAAGATTTGCTGTTAAATGGACAGCAAATCTATAGGCGGTTTGAATACTTTAGTATGAAACTGAAAAGCATATTTTTGTTTTGACTACTGCAACATGCAAAACAATTTCTGATCTTTTGATTTGTGTCATTGATTCAGTAAAGACAGGGGGATTACAGTAGGAAATCCTTAACCTGGCATGTGAGAGGATTTGTCATAAAAGAGCAGTGGGGAAGAGGTTCATGAAAAGTGTTTGCAAAAGGACAAGGACATTAAATGATTGGATGAACCATCTGTCTCCCACCATCTGTAATAAGCGAATATCAACCAATCAGGCCAATGAACGGGAACGAATGAACCACATCAAATCCCTGTTGAGTTAAAAAAAAAAAAGAACATACAGTAAAGGATTTAAACAGTCACTGCCTTCGATGCACATAGATGGACTTTAAACTAGACAGGATGGAGTATGCTTTTGTAAAGATCTCCCAAAACTAATACAAATGGCTGCACTAGTTTTTAAGTCGTTGCCTGAAGAGGAGATGAATCAAATTATGTCAGCCCAAAAGCAAAAGGGGATCTGTCTTGCAGCAATAAATGCAACTTTACACATCTCCCTTTCTATATTAAAATAAAGTTTAGTTTTGATCTTATCTGTTTAGCCTAACAATACTGTTTATAGAACAAACAAAAATCTCAATTTTTTCATATTTTTGCATTGCACAAACAAGCTTATTGAACCCTGGCCACAACACTTCGAAATCTACACTCAGATTTTGAGCCTGATCTCTAGTTTCTAGTTGTAACAACTGAAGCTGCATGCTGACTCGAACTCGTCTAATTCAAAATACCAAAGAAGAAACAAAGAAAGTGTAATAACTAAAAGCATAAAGCTAATTATAATGATGATAAAACAAAATACCTGCTCAAGCAAGCTCTATTTAAAGTAAGACTTAAGCATAGCGATTCACATCAAATTACTGTCATTTCATCCTGAAATTAGTGAATCTTATTGTTTTTTTCTTCTGCGTATGAAACACAAAAATGAATCGAGACATGAATCGCATCCGACACAAACCACAGATACACAATCCTACTAAACCGCTGCTCATTTTTCAGTTACAAAAGTATAAAAACAACCTTATATTTGGATGACAATTAAAAAAAAAAAAACTACATCAACTCAGTGACA